TCAAGGTAGCATGCTAAAAATAGCAGTGTGACTGCAGCAGCTCGTGCTGCAGCTTGGGCTAATCGCTCAAGTACAAGCCTGTCCAAGACCCCAGGTATGCGCTTTGGAGGCTAGCCCAAGCTGCTGTCTGTGCCAGTGCTATTTTGAGCAAAGCTTATGCATGTACTTCTACCCAAGCTGGGAGTCACACCTTTCAGCTGCAGTGTAGACGTACCCTACCTGAAAAGACAGACCTGAGCTTTTTATTGTTGTGGAAAGCTTGCAACACACTTTCATTCTGTGGACATCAGTGTATGGAGAGGGAAGACTATTGTTGAACCACATACTATATTACCCCATACATGAAGTAGAGGTAGATGGAAAAGTGTCATATTAAGGGTGTCTGGTGAAAGGAGTTGAAGTAAAGGGAAGCTTAAAATAAAGAACAATCATAAAATAAATCCAGGGTGAGTGGTGAGGGGAAGAGTTCCTTGAAGGATTTATGCACAAGCATACATACATGTGTTTAAAAGTTGTTTCTGGTGAGACTGCACTAGGTATTTTCCTTATGTGAAGGGTATCTCTCTGTCTTTTTTGTGTGTACATTTGTGTATCTCTTTTTTGTGACCTAAAACTACATTTTTAAGAGAAGAACACTCCTCAAAGTTTTTTTCTTTCTGGATTTACAGAACATAATGTTTTTCTGATCAAGGATACTCTGAGATGGTATGTCACAGAAAAATTGGAGGTTCTCTTTTTGGCTCTTTTTTTAAAGGGCCCGAGGAGCAGATAACTCTGACCTGTGTAATAATGGTGCCAACTTTGTTTGTGAACATGTGTGTGAGGGGAGGAGTGGAGGAACAATAAATGAGGAACTCAAAGTGAATCCCGAACATTTAGTGGCTCCTCACTCAGTTGCAGTACAGCTCCTACCACCGCCATCACTCATCTTTCTTTATGATAAGAAGCCTGATTTACCCCTGCATTACTCCATTTTTTCACCCATGAAATTAACAGAGTTGCACCAGCATAAAACTAAAACAATGCAGTGGTGAATTCAGCCATTTCTGTTGTCTGCAGGAGATGAAAAAAAGACAGTACTCCCAAACACTGGTAGCTCTGTTACAGGAGACTTTCTATGGTACCTCTTCTTATGGAATAATTGCAATAGCAAGAAAGAGAATTAAAAAAAAATCCATTACCGTGGGAAATGGTCATTTTCCTGTTCAATGGAGCACAGACATTAAAACAAACATTTGGAGAAAACAAAAAGGGGTGTGCATCAAACATGCCGCAACATATCCCACTTCTTCAGAATGAATAATGTATTTGGAACCTCTGGTGTCTCACACCAGTATGTAGCTGGCAACTCAAGACTTGTCTACCTGAAGTATTTTTGCGCTGGTGAAGCTACACTCCCCTCATGCAGGTGTCATGCTACACTATTGTAAAGCAGGGTTTATACCAACAGGACTTATTGTGCTTTCAAATGCCATTGCAAAAATTAGTGATGTAGATGAGCCCTAAGAAATGTGTAAGAAATAAGGCAGCGGGGCAGGAGAAAAGCAGTCTCACAACTCAGAGAGCTATTAGCAAGTTAAAGCAGAAATGAAAAATCGATTGCAAAAATTAGGATATTGCGTAGCTTATCCAGAATTATCTGTTTTATTTTTTATTATTGAATCATTTCCTTGGTTACATTGCTTGTGGTTGTGTCACTCATAAAGCATTAAGGACTAGGAAAGGGTGACTTGTCTGTGGATGACCTTGAAATTAAATTGAGTTGTCTATCAAGAAAATATGGTTGTTCCAGTATTTTCCTGAAGCCATACTTAACTACCTATGTGCATTCTTCCTGAAGTGCATTGGGGAGAGCAGCATTCAGAAGGAGCCAGCAGAATTTAGCAGTGTAACAAACTAGGCAAGGAAGTCATTCATTTCTTTCTGATATTTGGTGACATGACAAGGAAACTTACCTGATTTCGCTTCAAGCCAAATGTATTAGTCAATCGGTGCACCTAGAATTTTTATACCCATGTGATCAGCTTGTCCTGTGGGCAATAAATGATTGAAAGGTACTTATCCAGAATGAATTTTTAATAGTTCTAGATTTCAGATGATAGCATTTTTCTAAGGGTATGTCTGCACGTAAAATGCTACAGCGGCACAGCTGCGCCACTATAGTGCTTCAGTGTAGACACTGCCTACACCAGTTGATTCTCCCATCAGTGTAGGTAATCTACCTCCCCAAGAGGCAGTCACTAGGTCGATGGAAGAATTCTTCTGCTGACCTAGTGCTATCAGCATGGGGACCAAGGTCAACATAACTATGCTGCTCAAGGGGGTGGATTTTTCACATCCCTGACCAATTTTTAGTATAGACTAGGCCTAAGTGTGGCCGTGGTTAACTTGCAAAATACAGCTGCTCTTTTCTGTTGAGTCATGTAATGTAATATAATATATAATACACACATAGTCAGCCTGATTCTACCTGCACTTACACCTCTCTAAATCAAGGAATTTACACGAGTGTAACTAAGGGCAAAATCTGGCCCACATACATTATGTAAATGTCTGTGCTTGTGCACATATAGACACACACAAAAGCCCAGGCTTCAAGTTTGGGTACTTATGTTCAGTGTTCAGTATCCAGTCCAGCATTTGGATCTTCAATTTGAAATTTATTCATATAAGTTCACACCTTAAATGAACATTTATTCACCTTTGAACTCCTCAGGTTAGGATTTGGGTGCCTAATTTAGTTTAAAAATTGGACTCTCAGCAAGCGTGTATGTGTGTATTTAAATATTTAAATATGTTTATATTGTATTAAGCAAACACACTCTTCATTGCAGCAGGCTCTATATTATATATAAGGCTTATAATGTATTTAATTCACATTTACAGTATGATTAGGTATAGGAAATGGTTTAACTGTTAATAGGAGTAAGACCCAGACATGCTGGTGTTACCAGTTGCTACCGCTTCTTTAGGAATAGGGAATTCAAAAAGAAGAGCACTGAAAGACCAGCAAACCCCCTCAACATTGCTACTTGGATGATTGATTTAGCTGAGTCATGCAGCTTTGCTTTTAGGCAACCAAACATAGAATCTAAGCTCATAAAAATGTAGGAAACAAAATTAATCAATTTTCTTGAAACTTCATGAACCACAAGGATTTGTTTTTATGTAATTGCTTCTGTGGGAATCAGGCTACCCATGATACATTCATCTTGTCAGTATATATTTAGGACCACCAGCTTTGTTTTATTTCAAGCCATTTTTTGAGTTGTTGTAACACAATATGACTGAATGTGTTTTGGCAGGGGGAAAACTAATCCAATCCATATATCTCCAGATGAAAGTAATTTACTAGAAGTTTGTGGACGAGCTCACATTTTCAACGAGACCCACAAAAACATTTTTTCCTCTAATTGTCCCTCTTCATATCTAAATAGATCCAGCAATGGGAGCAGAATCTAGAGAAATTTAACATGGACCTCTTCAGGATGCGCTGCTACCTGGCGAGTCTACAAGGTGGGGAGTTACCAAACCCTAAGAGCCTTCTGGCTGCCACCAGCCGTCCTTCAAAACTGGCACTGGGGAGACTGGGCATCTTCTCAGTCTCCTCCTTCCATGCACTGGTGAGTGTGACTGCACTTTATGTGACTGTGTTATAGAAAGGTCTGGTTACCTTATCACTAGTGATTTAGTTGTATGAAGAGTAAAGCCAGGGAAACTCACACAGACACGCTCACACACAGCGCCAAACCCACCAGCTGCCAAAGAAACCCTGTTAGTTCGCGGACTCTAAATGTTTAGAAATTCTCTTGCCCAGAGACAGACTTTGGGACCTGGAAGCATTGGGCCATGCTTTCTTTCGCCCCAAATTTGGGGACTCCGAAATGTTGAGGCTTATCTCAGCTTTCATTTAAAACAAAAAGACCACCATGTAAGTTTCTGACCCTCTTCTTTGCAGAGATGGGCTTGAAAATGTCAACTTATCATTGTGGAAGGTTTGCCACAGTGATTTTTTTTCTCCCTTAACTTCACAGATCAACTTTTATATAAATTAAATACATTAAATTGGGGTGAGAGCTGGAGTCAATATTTTTAAAAGTGGCTAGTGATTTTGGGCCCATCAGTGTTGAGCTGCTCATCTTAAAACAGCTTAAAAGAGCCTGATTTTCAGAATGTGCCAAGCACCCTCCATCTGAAAGTCAGGCCTCTTTACAGTGTCAAGTTGTACCCCCAAAAGTGGGGGGGGAGTATCCAAAATCATTAGACGCTTTTGAAAATCTTGTTGTCAGTCTGCAAAGAATAATAGAGCGGATCCTTCGCTGTTGTACGCTGTCATACCTTTCAACAGACCTACCATAGTTTTGCACCAGCGGAGAATCTTCCCCCATCTCTCTAACCCTTGCCAATAATCCTAAGGCTGATCACAATGAGCAGGACTGGAGCACGTTTGGTGTGGTAGAGAATGAGGGTGAAAGAGTTTTGAAGGTCCACCTTGAAATATTAAGGCAAGCTTTGTCACAGACAGGGACTATATTTCTCTCTTGCACCTGTGTGCGCTCTCTCGCTCTCTCTCTCTTTTTGCCCGTGTAGCTGGAGTTATTGTTTGCTAATTGTGCGGTGTGACAATATGCTGTTATCTTGCATGCTTGAGACTTTTGTGTGCCTTCCTTCCTTGAGGAATTTAACATCTAAATCATGGCTGATCATTCTTCCTCAGGATCTTTGCAATAACTTCTTCAGTCGCACAGTTTATGGCCTTGTACTAGCACTAGCTTGTTGTGGGGCAGAGCAATATTTTCTCAGTATCTTCCCCACCTTGACTTTTTTACATCATATTTCTTCAATTGTCACTTTGTATTAATTAAAAAAGGAGCAGCGGTGCAGAAGGTTTGGGACCATGTTGAGATAAACTGAAATAACCCTCATTTGATGTCTCATTATAATTACTTTGGATTTATCTTGCTGTTATGTGATCGAGATGTGAAGGCTTGTATGTATGTTTAATAGATCTGCTCCAGGGATGAGGCTGCTCTCAGGAAACGAACCCTGTCTCTGTCACAGAGGGTACGAAGTAAGAAGGGCTTATTTTCCTCACTCAAAGGGCTAGACACTTTGGCAAGAAAAGGGAAAGAAAAACGACCTTCAGTAACTCAGGTAAATGCCAGTTTAAAATTATTAAAAGGCTTGTAAATGACAGTACTGTAAAATTAAGTTCCTATTGCTGTGTGTACATTGCTGAATAAGAGAGATTCTGACCCACAGGAGTAGAAAGTCAGTGGCTCTAGACAAGCAGGGCCTGAGGGTGTTGTGAGGGCAGTGCACTCTGCAAGGGGAGGTGGAGATGCCTGCAGCAATACTTTGGAGTGACCTCATGTGGCGGACATGCAAAGCAGCCCTGCTGCGTCTTGAGGAGAGCTTAGGCTCCGGTGCTCCTTCAGCCAGAGAGGGAAGGATGTGATGACCTAGGGGGCTAGATTTTCAGCTGGCATAAATCTGCACAGCTCCACTGACTTCAGTGGAGTTACTTCAGTTTGCACCAGATGAGGATCTGGCAGGGTTTTTCTGAATTGTACAGGCAGTAAAGGAAAGGAGAGAGGGAGTGGGGGTATCCCTAAAAACCCAGACAGAAACTTTTGTTTAACTGTCATAAGGGAGGCAGGCTCATGCACACATTCAGAACGCTACTGTTTTCCGTAGCTTTCTGCGTGCCTACCATGTCAGTAGGGCTCATTTTGTAAAACCAGCTATGTGGGTCATTCATTAGTCCATCTTATTCTTCTGTTATTCCCCCAGTCTTGCATTTTACTTTTATTAAACAAAAATCCCAGATCATGTAACATTTGAAAATTGGCTGCTGCAAATACACCAGTAATTTGCTTTCACACTTTTTAAACATGCCCATCCATATTCATATCACAATAGCCCGAGAGCTGATGTAATAGATTTAATATTGCACATTAATGTGTCTGAGTTTTATAGTCTAGCAGTTCATATTCTGAATGGGTAAATATTTATCTACATGCTAGACTAAGGGTATAGTCTATTGGGTAGTGACATATTTCAGCATATTAGAGAGATGTGCTTTCATGATGAACGTAGGTAATAAATGACTGTGAGACCCAAGCCTGACTGAGCCCCTGGCTAATATCTACAGGGCTGGGAAGAGACACAGTGCATCCCCTGCCCACTATCCCTCCCTATCCTGACTCTATATGACTCCCCTTCATGCCCCAGACCCTGTGGAGAGGCCTCCACAGAGTTCAGAGTGGGGATTGTGTCACCAAGGCAGCTATATCCCTCCTTTTTTGAGCGGAAGGGGGGAAATCTAAACATGGAGAGGAGGGCGCCTCCACGCTCAGATTTGCAGACAACAATCTGGGCAAAATGCTCCTTTCATTACCCTCACTGCAGGGAATTAGCACCAAGGGCTGGAACAAGCTGGCCCCAAATAAATCTCAGTTTTCATAGACTTTTGTTTTTTTTTTAAATTTACTTCACTTTTTATTTAAAATCCTACTGTAAAACTAAGGAAAAGTAAACACTAAGTACTGTGTGTCGGTAATACTAGGGCTCCGACTCATGTCCATAAAAGTGAAGAATTTAAGAATGATGGCTGAAATTTTGACCCACTGACCCTCACAGTGTGCCATAGAGTTGCATAGCCATATAGATAGAGCTATTCAGGGCCCAATCCTGCCTTCCTTGTGTACCTGTTGAATCCAGTAGGAATTTGGGATGAGCAGGGAAGGCATGAGTGAGTGCTGTGTTCACAGTGCTGTGGTTCCTAATCATCAGATTGTGAGTTAAGAAGAGGATGTCAGCCTTGACTCTGAATCTCCTTGTTTTCATTGATTAATTCAAATTGAGTGTGGTTGTTCAAAATACTTTAAGCAGAAAGTCAGATAGCATACTTTCAAACCTTTTAAAGTCTTTTTTTATCTTCAGCCCAATTTTATTTTATGGTATTAATTTAAAGTCCATCCTGGGAAGATTTCCAATATAAAATTGAATGAAGGGGTTAGTATTTTGTTCCCCCATTATTTAGAAACCAATCAGGTATGGAAACTGAATCCTGGCAGATGGGTGATATCAAGATTCACGTTATCCCTGGTCTCTGAAACAGTTTCTGTTTCTTTGATTCTAAATTGCAAACTATTTCAAAAAGTCATACAAATAAGATCCCTTGATTAGAGCTCTGAGTGGAACATGGGAAAGGAAGTTCATAAGTGTTGCTGTTTAGTCACATTTCAATACTGCATCATGTGTACATGTCAAGAGAAGAGAGTTTGGGATTGTCTTCTGTATTTTAAGACATTTAACGGGGATGACCCAAAAACCGACACTTTCTAACAACAAAGTTAGTGTCTGATATTGTCCTACTTTGCTGATATCAGAAGTGAGCTAAAAATTATGTTTTGTTTACATATGCCTTTTCGGGGGTTGGTCCTATTACTCACAAGTGGTAAAGCCATGAATGAAGTATGCAGGTCTATCTATCTAGATACTATATGACACTAATCACCATAGCGACTGAGTGTATCCATAATCATGAATGGCTTTTTTTTAGCCTCCCAGCACCTGTGAGTTAGGTAAGCTTTATCCCCACTTTGAGAACTTTAGCCTTAATTTCTCCATGCCTCAGTTTCCCATCTCTAACGTGTGGATAATACTCAGCTACCATTGCTTGTTATTGGTACTTGTTTAGCCTTCTTTCTATAAAGATAGACTTCTCTTACAACCATGAGTCCAAGTTAATGTGTTTTAGAAAACCACAACATTTATTTAGAATAGCGTTTCTATAAATAATAGTGACATGATTTGACATGATGTGGTATTTCACAGGCTACCAGGACTGGAAACTGTTGGCCAGAGGGTTAGTTTGCCACTTGAAGATACTAGATAAATGCAACTTATCATGTGGATATAAGCAGCATATATAGATAGATAAGAGTGAGGGAGTGTGAATGTGTGTGTGGCCTTATAAGAGGAGTCTTGCTGCAGCGCTCACTATGGAGAGAGCATGGATGTTGTTATAATATATTCTCTTAGTCAAAATAAAATGGTAACGTGTCGCAAAAATAATCTATTCTCAGGTTGATGGAATGATATTTTGTTACCTTTCATCTTTGTTTAAGCACAAGAGATTTAGCTGTATTGGAAACTAACCTTATATGTTACATAGCACTTTGTTTGATTGATTATTTATCTGTGCATTTGTTTTAATTTAGATTTTTGATTCAACTGGGGGAAATGGATTTGCAGGCACACAGCTACTCCAGAAATCATCCAACTCTACTGAGGTAAGATGAGCTAGTCTTTGTACTGCATCGTTAAATTTACTTTTAAAGTTCTGAAGAGATGTCACATAAGTATATGAAAAAAGCTACTTCAGAAACTTTATTGAATATCATCTGGTATTAGTTGACAGAACCACAATTTGATTTATAATCTGTTAGGGGAAACCTCTCCGACATGGGTTTTTAAATGTATAAGGTAGACTTTTCCCTTAACTAAAACTTCCTATATCATCCTGATCCCCACTGCTACGTGTGTGGGTGTGGGTGTGTGTGTGTGTGTGTGTGTGTGTGTGAGAGAGAGAGAGAGAGAGAGCGCACGAATGCAAGAGAGAATCAGCAATTAGTTAATTTGGAAGTATTCATTGCTTTTATAGTATAGCCTAGACCAAGTTATTACTGGATATTTGCTTGCCATTTGCCAAGAATTAGTTTGACAGAACCTGTATATTTAAAGATTAAGAAACTGTAATATTACAGAGCCTGTATTTTCAGGTAGAAAGATACAGAACCAAATGTGCCTGGCCCAGCGTACGTGTGGGAGGGGATGTGGTGGAGGGCAGTAGAACCCTCTCCCACTTGCAGTAGCCTGCGTAGTGGCTGGTCACAGTCACAATCTTCTTCCTTAGTGCCTGCTGGGATGCAAGCCACTCTAAAGGAGAAGGGAGGAGATAGGGTTATGGGGAACTGACCTCTACCCTGGCCGCACAGTTGTCTAGGAGCAGAAAAGAGCACGGTCCCCCCTCTTCCTCTGAGGTGATGTCGCTCTGCACTGCCCCTGAAGCAGAGCAGTACACTGCATAACTGCCACAATTCAGTCCTTACTGTTTCAATGTTAGTTGTATTTGCAGGTACAATGAGGACTTAAAATGTACTGTAGAATCTGGATGGCATGAGGGTCATTTTGTGGGCTTTCCAGCTCCTCTCCCTTCTTAGGCTTGTGCAAATATTCCCCTCTAATTAAGATGATCACATTTAGTTTTGTTGCATGGCTTGTTTCTGTGATCTTATACTTTTAATTCTCATCTGTTAAGCAGAGATTTTTACAAAACATCTTAATTACTCTTCTGGCCTATCATTCATTTGCGTGCCTAAAATCACTGGCAGCAAATGACTCATATTCTTTCAAGCTGCAGACCTTTGTTTGCTATAAGGACAAAGCAAGTGAATGCCAAATATCTCCCCTCCTGCTATGCATGGCAAGGAAGTTCTCATTGGTTTAAAAGAGAGAGGGCAGGACTAGCCTTTGGTCAGTAAACTAGGTTGATCCAAGTGGTTAGAACAGGCGTGGGCAAACTACAGCCTGTGGGCTGGATCCGGCCGTTTTAAGCCCACGAGCTCCCGTTGGGGAGCGGGGTCTGGGGCCGCACCACGTGGCTTGGCCATGCTAACCCATTTTTTATGGATTTGTAGTCCAGACAAAAAAAGCCCTCTCCATGCAAACTTGCTTTTGTGTGAGCAGGATGTAGGGCCAAACCAATTGGTAGAATTGAGGCAAATTTGTTGACGGATTGCTGTAATAGCAGTATAAGCCACAGGAGTCATTCCTGGTGCAACCCTTCTGAGGGTTTGCAGTACTAAGGATCAGGATTCTAGGGCTTAATTTTGATTAGAGCATAGTTTGGTTCCCTTGAGTATCCCTCTGGACTAAAAATCATAGTTTCTCTCCACTTTACTCTTTCACTCACTCTCATTCCCTGGACCAGGTCATCCCCTAATGTAATTTTAAGTTTTAAAGCGCTAAGAAGAAATTATGCCACAGAACTATGCTCCCTATGAATTTGTCTACCTAGTATTAGATGAAATCTGCATTTAGAATGAAACATTGCACTTAGAAATGACTATAATGAAAAGCTGTAATGCAACTCTTGATGCTACATAACATTTGAGACTTGGGAAAAGTTTGTTATAGCTCATGGCTTTTTATGCTGTAATTTCCAGTTATGATGAGCTGTATGGTTTACTTCCCTCTTGTGAGTATTCATTTAGTGGCAAGATAATAAAGAAATATAAATATAGATTTCCGTAGAATTATGCAAAAGTTATACCACAGAATTTTCCCAATGATGGTACCAAACCCTAGAGTGTTGTTGTGCCTATGAAAATCATCTCTAACTCATTATGTGTTCTTTGATGAAAAAAATCAATAAAAACAACTGTTCTTTCAGCTGTGTAATGCCTGTTATTTGCTGAATACTGTGGGAGGAGGGGGAATATTTATAGAAAGTCACCCCTTTCTTTTCAATAGGCAGTATACATACGATACATTGTAATAATATGGGATTTCTGGGTCAAATCATCCCCTATAGAGAACTCACAATTCCCTCTGAATTATTCCATTGGGTATGGTGTGAGGTTTGCCTCCTTCCCCACATCCCACAGAATTGATTGTAACAAATCTGTGCTATAGAAACCAGACACAACAGGATTCTGGCCTCTAAACCTGAGCCTCCTGGTTTCCTCAGGTCTCCCTGACAGCATGTCTCCTGAAAGAGTAATGTTGCCATGGCCTTCATGCCAGCCACTGACTCTAGCCCCTCTTCCCACTCCAAGGCCAGGGGATTCACTCTGCCATGGGCTACATTGAATAACCCAAAACTGAATAAAACGCATGTGGTTACAATACTCTCACAGGGCTGGGAGGGAGAGACAGCAGACACCCCCTGCCATATCCTTGCACCACTTGCCCCTCTCCTCCAAACAGGCAGAACCTGAAACATGCTGAGCCCCCATGGAGGGATTTTTGAAGGGGTTGCAGGGAAGGAAGGAATATGGTCTTTCTTTGCCCTTTGATGCTACCTCCACTACCTCTGAGTCCTTTCCGCTCATGACAGCAGAGGGATAACAAATCTAGACCTATGGCTGCTAAATATGCAAAAGTGGGGCATTTGTTTCTAGACTTTTTAAGGGTTCAAAATATGGCCTATGCATTTTTTTAAGATCCCGATATTTTGATGCATCGTACTACAATTCAGAAGTGAGTCATCATAACTCTCAAAACCGTTAAGGTTGGAGTCAACCCAGTTTCATTAGCCAATTTCAAATAAAAATCAAAAACAATCAAAACCTTTCATAAGATGCTTCCTGGCGAATGCAGTGAAATACAAGTAGTGAAGTGTTCCTGGCAGCTTTTCTGAGGTGTTGCTTATGAAGATGGTGACAACAAACAGAGAAAGATGGGAAAATCATGAAGTATCCTACTGCTCCTCAAGCAACACTGTGGCATAGTGTATGACAGTCTGAAAGTCCTGGCACGTGTTGCTGGAAAACTGGATGGGTTGTTGTAGCTTTACGTGGCAAGGAGTGAATGAAGTATTGTAGTATTAGTCACTGCAGGCATAACAGAAAAAAAATCTCATTTAATGTCAGAGTTTCTGAGATGGAAAATGTGGGTGAAGCAACAGTATCTTGACCACAGCTAAGGAATATGTTTGTAGTTTAATATAGAAAGACTTAAGTTTTCCTCACATCAGGCCCTTAGTAATGCTTATGTTTGAGCATCAGTATACGTGGTAAACAGATTATTTTGGATCCCTAGCAGTTTATGTTGGTTAATAAAACTCTGAATCATATAATTGAAAGAGGATTGTGTTGGGGCGGGGGAAGATGCCTTTAAATAATGTTTTCCCCCATCTTGCTCCTCTGTTGAATTTTTCTCCACCAATGATTGTAGTGAGATTGATTTATAATGGGCAGACTGAAGGGCTGATTTCCCTTCAATAATCCAATTGATAATTACAAACCATTGAATTGCTAGTAGCATCTCTGAGTTGACATACAGGGTTGCTTCACCTTTCTCTCCAGGAAGCACACTGAGAATTAACAGTTTGATACATGATATCAGGATTCTTAATTCTTGCAATTTGTCTTTCTTGCTTTATCTCTTTTTCATCATTTGTACAGTTGTAGAAGCTCATAGTTGATTCCTATCTTCTTGGCTTCTCGGTGCTTTCTGATGTGAGTATAGTTCTAGAGGAATTATCATCCTATAATATTGCAACTGTTCTGTACGAATTATGGTACAACAATCAATGAGGGAGACTCTCAGCAGATATAAATTGTCATAGTTCCATTGACTACAGTAAAGCCATGACAATTGACACCAGCTGAGACTCTGCCCTTAGTATCATTTTTCTAGCTGGTAGTTTGCCACTAGGAAAGTATGATTTTTGAAAGTCATCAAAATGTGGCTCTTTATAAAATAATTCCTGCTTTAGGCTTCTAATCTGGCTGGAACTTATATTTATGGGTAATGTGGTAAATACACTGATGTGGCTATTTAATATGCCATTTTTACTGCCGTGATTGTCATGCATGTCAAGAATCACAATGACATTGTTATTATTTGTTGAGTGTGGTCATTATGTTTGGTGCTGTGCCAATAGAGAGGGAAACGCAGTCCCTGACCAAGGCAGCTCCACTATAAGGATTCCATTGTGGCTTTTAATCACAGCCCTGCATTGGGCCCCTGGGGCTGCACGGCCCTTGCAGGTGCTCCAGGCAGAATTGCATCTCCCAGGTTTCCAAGTGTACAAAAGGTGTGCACACACTGTTACCCCTCCCCTGCATAGATGGCTGGCTTTGCTAGCTGGTGGGGAGTGGACAGGGTCATGGCCTCACCTCTGCTTCCCCTCCTACTTTGATGTGGCTCACACCATGGAGCAGATCCTGCACTCAGAAGAGTCCTGGAAGCTCTATTTGTGGTTGGGTTCTTTTCCTTGTGCTCCCTCACAAATCCCCTCTATTGTTTACATGTGCAGAGACCAGCCACAATCTGGCTCAGAGTTCTGACGCCTAATACAGTGGTTGAAGGTCTAGTCTCAACACAGTGCAGCGGTAGTTGTATTTTTCTTCTCCTTCGGTGGGTTACTTTTGAATCATAAATTGTGGCACAGAAGAAAGGGCAAAGATGAGCAAGATAGCAAAGGGATATTTAAGATGAATCAAACGGTTGTATAAATATATACAAAATGGCTTTGTGTTATGGATTACCTCCACATTAAAGTTGGTTGTGATTTGCCAGATGTATTTCATGTTTAAAGTTGGATTGAGCTTCAATTTGAGCCTAAGTAGTGAAAGATCACACTCTTCACTAACAAACAATATAATCTTAAACTGTAGGTATAGCAGGAGTAGTTTATGCCTCTGCTATGTTGTCTGTGATGTTTCTTGCTCCATAGTGCCCTCTGCTGGAAGACTACTAGATTATCCTCTTTTCTCATTAGAAATACAGTAGAACCTCAGAGTTACGAACACCAGAGTTACGAACTGGCCAGTCAACCACGTACACCTCCATTTGGAACCAGAAGTACACAATCAGGCAGCAGCAGAGACCAAAAAAAAAAACAAAAAAACCTGCAAATACAGTAAAGTACTGTGTTAAACATAAACTACACCTCTACCCCGATATAACGCGACCCGATATAACACGAATTCGGATATAACGTGGTAAAGCAGTCCTCCGGGAGGAGCGGGGCTGCGCACCTCTGGCGGATCAAAGCAAGTTCGATATAACGCAGTTTCACCTATAATGCGGTAAGATTTTTTGGCTCCCGAGGACAGCGTTATATCAGGGTAGAGGTGTACTTTTAAAAAAAAAAAAGGAAAGCAGCATTTTTCTTCTGCATAGTAACGTTTCAAAGCAGCATTAAGTCAAAGTTCAGTTGTAAACTTTTGAAAGAATAACCATACTGTTTTGTTCAGAGTTACAAACATTTCAGAGTTATGAACAACCTCCATTTCCGAGGTGTTTGTAACTCTGAGGTTCTACTGTATAGTGATCTATTCAAAGTCTTTGATAAAATACGGTACTAATTGTTTAGTCCTGTTTAAGGCTTTTTTCATTTGTTTACATAGGCATAATTGTGTAATCCTGTTTAAGACCATTTTCCATTTGTGCATATATGTATAATCTTGCCACCTTAGGAGTTAATTTGAACTAGTAACATGAGATAGGTGAGTGAAATAGTGTCATTTGAATGCAAGAGAAATAATGAAATCAATTCTCTAGACAAAATCTGGACTAAAGTCAGTGATATTATATGAGAACTGGTAACGTAATTTGTTCTTCTATGACAGGAAAGAGCTTATTGTGATACCTTTGCTAAATGCACATAGTACATACCAGTAGCAAACCTCCAGTATAATATATTATTGATATTGCCATATCTCCATGTACTGTCAATTTTTTCCTGTATTTTCAGCAGCAAGTTGATGAATTTTTAAACGTCTACTGCTCTGCATCAGAAAGTGGCCAGAAAGAGAGCGCTTGGGAAATCCAAACATATGTTCATTTCTGTGATAGGCCAGGAGTCACGTTAACTCTCAAGCCAGAACACAGAGTGGAAGATGTTTTGTCTTCGGCATGCAAGGTACAGAGTTCTCACACCTGAAAGCAGCTTGTGTGCTTTAAAAGGCCACCACTTATACTTGTGTATTAATTATTCTGATGCTGAAGCAGGGAGAGCCCAGTCTCTGAGTCCCAGTGTCCCTGTAATTTAAGGGTTCTTCCTGTGCTTCTGGCAGTTCTGTTTAAGGCTCAGTGGAACCAAAGCAGCAGTGTCATGGGGGCCTTTCAAATGGTGGAATGGGCATTCTTTGATGCCTAAGCTAGCATGCAGTCAAGAATCTTGAAAGAGCAATAACAGCTGCACATGTTAAACTACCCAGGGGAACTCTTGACATATGTCCAGTCTGCCTTATATCACTGAGTCGTTACAATGAATAGAATTGTTGCATGGAAATTAGCTGTAGAGGAAGGGTGGTAACTGGTTGAGTTACCTCTGATGCCACAATGGCCCCACTTAAGAGTTACTTACACTGTTCCCTTGAGCTTATTCTATAGCCTATATAATCATAACAATTAGAGACAATAATCATTAATAACTTTGCTTAATTGGAACCTAATTTCTTCAAATAGAGACTCTGTAAGATTTTAGTTCTTTTAAACTATATGGAAAGTTTGAAGTGTCTGCAATATTCCATTGATAAGATTATTTGGGACAAAGAAAAGACTGACACAGATGTTAATTTCTTAAAGGACCTAGTGTTTTTAATTAATAAACTAACTAATGGATTTACTTATGCATTCTCAAAAACTTCAGCCTGTTCTCAGAGTAGGTGCTGTAAGTTTGGGGAGGATACGCTGTAGTTTTCTTGCAAAACAAAGAGTTTGAATCACTGCTTAAAGGCAAAATAGAACTCTGCATTAACTGTGGAGCCATGACCAGAGCCTTCACAACACCAAAAATAATGTAGGGTGTTAATCATCACTTCTGCCAACAGATTGAACTTGACTCTCTGAATTTGTGAATCATACCATTTTCAAATTATAATGGAATAAAACAATAAATTTTGGGAAAAAACTCTCATTTTAAAAATCCCCACCATTTGCAAAAGAGCTAAATTTTAGGAAAGAAGGGCTAGGCTATTATCCTACAAGACTTTGGTGTGACCACCAGATGGCAAGACAGAACTGAAACATTTGGAAATGGATTGATAATGTAACACATAGAAGCCCTGCTAAAAGAAACAGAGATATAGATCTATAAAATCAAGTTTAAAAGTAAATTACTTGTGTTTCTCACTACACTGCTCCAAAATGTTTGTCTGTCTGTAGAAAATACTGTTTTGTTATGCCTGTATCACTTCAGTAGTCTAATAGTAAGTTACTTTATTTTAATGTTTTCTTTTAATGAAACCTTTTTCTGTTTTATCTTTCCTTTCTATTCTGTATGTAAACTTTTTCATAAGCAGTCTAACACTGACTCCTTTCTGCTACATCTTTTCTGTCACTCTCTCCTTCTTACATTGCCATTCCATTCTGGTGAGGGTAAGGAATCTTCATTCTTTAACACAACACATTGTTTAAAAGTCTGGGTTTGGGGGTAACGTCTGATTTATTAATTTTTTTTCTCAACCATATTTTGATGGTTTTCACTCATTTGTATTCTGCATACCTAAAACTTTGCATAACACACCGAGTGAGAATATACATTTTAATATAATTATTTAGAATACAGTGCACACATTACCTATACATTCTGTTACACATAATGAAATGTTCAGCTAAACAATCCTTCCTCGGTGGATTAAGATTTCACAACCTTCAGAGGCTTGTTGAACAGAGAGGTGAAATGACCTTAATGGATGCAGAGATGCCTTCTGTTCTGAAACATTGCTCTATTAATTCTGAAATGCAAGATTTGTTGCAGTAGTCTCAGCAGCGAGCTAAATTTAAGAGACTGACTCGCCAGTGGCTCATCTCTTTTAGGCTAGTATCCTTAGGGAATATTCCCATTCCCCTTTGACTTCCTGCAGATATTAGGTTTTCACTTCGACTACATATGGTGAAAAGTAGGTGTTACTCACTGATGATAGATGAAACCTGGCAGTAAAAAGTGCAATAAAAGCAATCCCTTAGGAAATCCCTCTCTCCTAAGACCCTGTATATGCATATGCATTTTCCACATCAGTTTTATGTTTTCCACATCTGTTTTATGCGCAGAACTGAGCCGCGCAGAAGAGCCATAGAAAATGATGAAGATGTGTGCAAGTTCAAAAGGACAGAACAGAGTTCTAAGTTTATTTGAAAACACATAATGATGCTTGGTTAGTCTAACAGCCAAGATGTAATGTTAATGCAAGTGTTTCCTGAGTATCCTTACAAGAAACTGAAAATCGCACTGATGTGAGCTGGAACCGTATCATCTAGGCAATACAGACAATACACCACAAAACTATTTAGAAAATAACTTGTTGAAGATTGCCTTTGCTTAACTTCTAAAGGCTGTGTGTGTGTGGCTTCTTTGACATCTGGGATTCTGTTAATAAATCATGAATTTCAAATATGTTCTTTTCATCCCTTAGATGAGGCAGCTGGAACCAAGACACTACGGTCTACAACTTAGAAGATTAGTTGATGAAAACATTGAGTATTGTATTCCTGAAGCATATGAATACATACAAGATCAGGCAAGTTTGACTAATTTTAGATAAGAACTTCTCGATATTTGTTGCCACAGCTAAATTATACTCTATAAATGTCTGTGAATTAGATACAAAATGGGATTTTTAGATTAGATCACTATCACAGACTGTATTCTGCTACCCTTACTCACAGTGAGTTAAACTCGCCCATGTGCAGAGAACTAGAGATCTAGGGCATCACTTAAGCCTTGGTTTAAGCACTATTTTGAGGGTTTAAGTGGGACTTAATGGTGCCTAGGTCTAGTGCTGGTGCTCTGCACATGGGTGAATTTCACCCATTAGGTAATACCTTATTCCACAGTTAGTCCCACTGAGTTCAGTGATACTTGCAGCATAACACACTTCTCTAATGTGAGTAAAGGTAGCAGAATCTGGCCCTTTGTTAATGGATTATTTAACCATGCAGCTTATTTTTTTTAATAATTAAAATGATACTGATTTCCATGAAATATTGAACCTTTGGCTTTTGCAGTCCTACAGTTTCACAGCTTAACAACTTGTGATGTTTTCTCTCTAACAGATATACGATGAAATAGAAATTTTTCCTTTAAATGTTTACCATGTACATCTTACTAAGACTGAGACTATACCTGATTTTGGTAAGTTTTAGTAAAATCCCTCCCAATGATTTTCCTTTTATTTTCTTTGTTCTTTTTGAAGCTTAATTTTTCCTTCCACGTGCTTTCTCTTTGTTGACCACTTTTGGTTCAGTACCTGTTCAGAATGACAAGTCTGCAAAGTGCACAAGGTAGCACTTTAAGGACGACCTGAGAATTGCTGACTTTTTTTTTTTGGACTCCTGCATTTGTGGGGGCAAGTGAAAGGCTTACTTCCCCCCGCCACTTCATTGACCAGCCAGTAAAAGAGCTGCTGAAGAGTGGGCAGGCAACTTTCTCATGCTCAACTAAACAGAAGTACCCAGCCTACTCTCAAAATATGCTTTCCTTTTTGGCAGAAAAACATTCTCTTGACCCTGTGCCAACAGGCTGTCACTCGACAGAAATTTTAACTGGCTTCTTTTCCCGGTGGGAGGTAATGCCAAAGAATATCCTTATGTTTGCTCATTGTGAAATGTGGACTTTAGTCATTCAATTAACAAGAATGAGCAAGGCAGTGGAGAAAAAAGGAAGGAAGATAATACTGTAGAAGGAAAATTGGAACAGAAAAAATAAAATTGGTGTCCTGATTCACTCCCATTCAGGTCAATTCATTCCCACTAAGGTAGTCTTTCCATTGATTTTAAGGGCATGTCACCATGGTGCATTAGTTTGCATCAGAGAGGTGTAAATTCTAGCATGTAGTAGTGTGTTGCACACTAATTGGCCTGGGCGGACCCTGCTGGTTCTCACTAAAAGTTCCAGTGTGCCTGTAAACGTAGTCTTTTTTCAAAAAGTATTACAGTAACACTCACTAGGGAATTTTTAGTCTGTGCTAGCAGGATCCACAGGGTCTAATTAACATACAACATGCTAGTGCACACTAGAATTTATGACCCTCTAGTGTGGACTAACACACCATGTAGACAGTCTCTAATGTGAGTTGGATTGGGTCTGAGATTATAGTCTCTTTGAGTCAGGGACTGAGACCAGAAATCTGTGTGTGAGGAACAAAATGGAGAATTCTCATGGTATTGCAGAAGAACTCCTTTTCCATCATGCTGACTTCTGATCTCATCCACCTCTTTGTGTCAAGCATTCTCAGCTAGAGAAAGGAAACAGCGGCTGAGGGGCAGTTCTTCGGGGCAAGGACTTTTTTTCTTTTCTTTTTTTAATGTTTGTACAGCATCCATCAGAATGGGGGCTTGATCCTGATTGTGTCAGTTGTACACAAAAATGGGTTATAAACACACACAATTTTTGCATGTCTTCAGACACTGTTCTCTCCCAGTTTTTACAAGAAATCATATAAAATCCTCACAATATTTGTCAAAGTATTTTATAGACCTTCACTGGATCTGGTGATCTGTGTTATTGAAAAGCTATATCAGGCTTAGTTGGAAAAACAATAAAATATCTCATAATAACTATTTACATTTAAGAGTAAAGAAATTTACATGAGAGAATTTGTCCTTAGGGTGTGGGTCTGCATAGGTGTGTGTATATACAAATTGGGAGTGAGAATGTCACCTCACTTTGATTATGTAGATTAAATCTACTGAACATACAAAACTAAATGAGAAATACCTGACCAGAAATTCACCTGATTGTTGTTTTAAGCAGACCAAGTGGTAAGGGTAAAACCATCTTTCTTCTTAATTCCAGGGTTTGCAGTCACAGCTCAAGTTGTTGAAAACCAGCATCTTACTCATATATTCATAAGTGATGTCCTTCCAGATGGACTGGCTTACAAAGAAGGTTTGTGTCATGGCTGTACTAACCACTGTTATGTTTTTAATTACTTTTTATTAAGTAGCAAACTTTAGGGAGCTTTAAAATGGCCTGAAAATGGTTCTTTGCTTCTACTACCCTTGGTCTTCTTGCAGTAGATGATGCTAGGTAAGATAATTTACATAAAGTGGCTGAGGAACCCTTCTAACGAGAAGTGAAGTGAAAAGAATGCTTGTCTACACTTGGGGCAAAATCTGCTCCTAGCACCCACACTAAATGTTGGGATCTGTACAAGGACAGAAGAGAGAAATTCTCCACCTCACACGGTGGAACCTCCATGGCTGAATTAACCTCCACAGCTTTTAGCTTCCCATTTGCCTGCAACAAGCAGTGGTATGCAAAAGGCTGGCTCCCAAAGAACTACCTTGTGCATTACATTGCAGGGTACCACTGAAGTTCTCTACTTTGTGGTGCTCATGGATTATACGTCTTCTCATCAGCCTCTTAAGATCTCACCTTCCCCTCCACACTGCTGAACCGCATCAATTCTGCTGTGTTTGGGACCATCTGCAAAGGAAGGGGAGAATTGTTCCCTTAGTCATCTGGAGTGCAGTGGCCAACTGGTTGTTGCTGATCCTAAAATGTACAAGTTGCCACTACTTGGATCTAACTGAACTCTCCCATAAAAACCTCACTTGTTAGATTTCCCTGTTGCAATTTTGAACAAATCAGCCTGATAAAGCTCCTTGTGTTTCCTGAACTGGGATCCTAAAATAAGAGTTATTTTGCCTATAGGCTTTTCAGGATGCTGAGAGCCACCTTAAAATGAACTCGAGGTCTGAGAGTCTGTTTGATTCTTCTATCATACACTTTTCTAAAGTTGCATGTCAGAGTCATCTTGCTTTAGCCTTTGAGTAGAAACAGCCATGTTATAGGTGGCAAAACAAATAGCCAATCCTGCAGTCATGGTGCACACACAAAACTCCCTCTGACTCCAGTGGGATAACTGCAGGATTAGGTCATTTGTATAAAAATATATATAATCAAAATGCAATATAATTTGTTTTGTAGCCCTGTTCATCAGCGCTCCAGAATTCCCTTCTTATTTTCTTTCCTTTCTCATTCTCCTAGGGTTGAGAGTGGGCAATGAAATCTTGATGATAAACGGCGAGGCCATCTCTGATCTTGACCTCAGGCAGATGGAGTTATTGTTTTCTGAGAGAAGTGTCACGCTCACGGTGAAAGCAAGTCATTATGGCCCTAAGCGAGCATTATGTACGTCGTGGTCAGATGGCGACATTTCCAGGGACCCGAAAAGCTTGTTACCCCCTCCTAACCAGTCACAGCTCCTGGAAGAATTTCTGGATAATTTCAAAAAGAACACTGCAAATGGTGAGGAGATGATGATGATAATGATTGTATTACTTTTTCCCCGGCCAGACAGTTATTTTAAAACTAGTTTTTCTTTTTTTATCCATTTAAAAAAAATTATCCTCATGCTACAAGAGAAAAATCCAGATACAAACTGTGTAAAATCCATTTACATTTCATGCATTTCTGTAATTATAGTGATTTCCTGAGAGTAGCAATGAAACAGAAAATGCTCATTTCTGCAGGAAAATTATGTTCTTTTAACCTGTTCCACTGAATCATCCCAGTAATGCTAAGTACTCTGTTTTGCAGTGTCAAGGCTACCCATTATAACCATATGTGAGCATCAAAAGTTGAAATGGTGTCGCTTTTAGGGGCAGGAGTTTTGCTGTATGTTTTAATATACTTCATTTGCGCAACTTACCATGTACATTTAGGGCACTATGAAAATAATAACAGTAATCAGCTGAAAATGGAGACATTTTACAGCAGCCTTCCCCACCAATCAGTGTTTTCTTTAATGCATTCCAGTAGAATACAGGTATCCACTTGATATAAATGTATCTTTTACCTTGAGACACTTTCAATGTGATTCTCCAGCTACCTTCTCTTTGAATTTCTCAATCTTATTGTCATACTAACTATCAGATATAGGAAGTATGCTAAACGTATGGGGTGAGGGTGAGATTGTGGCTGTATGCTGCATGGGTGAACAAGATGGGGAGGGTGCAAAGATCCTTAGTGCTAGGACTACTCCTGGCCAGCATTATGGACACCCATAAATGGACAGGAAGGAGGTGAGTGTATGATCATGTTTTCTGCCATACGAGCTAGTAGAAGGCAGCTCGTACATGCTGCACCACCCTCAAGGGTTGTAGCAGTGGGCACACTCCCCTTGGGTCTGAGCCAGTGCCTATAGAAGTCAATGGGAGCCTTTCCATTGATTCACTGGGAGCTGGATCATGCCCCTAGAGCACTATTGAGCTCTGTCAAGCATTCTCTTCCCCCCACCCCCATTGTCCGTGGCAGGACTTTTTTGTCTAAATAGGAGTGAGTGGGGACTGCAGGACTTGGCATTTTGTGAACTGACCCATTCTATCAAATGCCACATCACAAACAAGCAATATAAACGTCACTGTGTTTTGAGACTGCCCTGCTGTGTTGGAAGAAATGTGGTTTGTGATGTCAACATGGTTTTAAGATAATACTTTATATTTCAAGCAGTTCGGGGAGATTTTCTCCCCTGGAAAATTGTGTGTATAAGATATAAGCAGATTTAACTCAGTGTATCATGAATGGTGGGGAAAAAAAGGTGCAATTCCCTCTTTATACCTCTGGAGGATGCTATTAAAATTCCACAGGAAACCTAGATCAGGTTCATTGCTGCATGAGGGAGAGGAAGTCATCTTTGTGCTTAATTGTGGTGGCAAGTGTTTTCTGATCTTTAATCTTGGCATGATTTAAAAAAAGAATAAAAAAAATCACAAAGGAGAAGTTGATAGGATTGATTTAATTATAAAGTAACTTTATTAGGTCATCTTTGAAATTAAAAAAAATATATGATTACAAGATTTGCGATACCGTCAGTAGCATCTCTCAGGGGCCGTAGTTCAATTTAAAATACCATTAAATTTACTGGCATATAAAAGTTAGTGTCATAAAACAAAAATTATGATGGAACTAATTAATTAGTTATGTTAGGGCCATCACTCAGCTTGTTGGTTTGATATTACGGCCAGCATTACCTGGAGTATTCAATATAATAAACGTATGTGTCCATTCACCAGATTCATTATTTCTCAGAGACAAATTTGCAACTTCTGTTAATCTCAAGATATTCCATTATAATAAGATATTGCTAGAGTATATTTCATACTCTAGGCACTAAAATGTATATACTTATCTGATTAAGAAAGCAGTTAAGGCAGACTCGTTTACCTTGAAATGGGGGGAGGGGAGAGAGAAGGGGAAATGGTTCTAACTCAAGCTCTGTGAGAAAGTCTGTCATCTAATTCAGTTCATGTGGAAACAAAAGAAAGTGGCACTACTTTGACTTAATAGGTAATCTTAATGGGTTTCATCCTTGTATTCTCTTTTTATTTAAAAATAACTTGGGTGTAATAGTCTGAACCCAGGCTTGGGTGCCAGAGACTCCTTTATAGTATCGAGGCATCAAAAATCAGAAGCCACCTTGGAAAACTGTGGTCTAAGTGACTCAATTAATTATCACCCAGGGTAACAGTATCAGAGCCAGAGTTAAAACCAAGGAGATGTGGGAGGCAGTGCTCAGGTAGGTAAGGCGTCTGACCTGGAAGTTCAGGTGTGTACGGCGCCTCACTGCCTACACTCCTATTTATACCTGTGCTAGCTGGGTGTGCAGTGCCTATCCTCTACACACTGCTGTAAGTGTAGACCTACCTTTAGTCATGCTGGGTATCAACATCTGGCCTATAATGCAGCAGAAGTTACTATAAAGTAATCTTTTGAAAAACACTAACTTCGTAGAGCTTTAGTGATAAGGGTTTGTCTGAGTTTGCATTTGTATGCTTGTAATTCCTTAGTGTCTTTATGATGAATGCAGTTTCCTACCTAATCCCTTGCATTGCAGACATGTGATTTTTACCTTATGTCAAAATCTGGCAACTCTTAGCAAAGAGAAGGGACGAGAAGTGATTGGTTTTCCACTGCTAAAAAACAGTCATTGGGAGTTCAGTTTTCTATAAGAGTGATTCGTTTCCTTCAGGAGACCAGAACTCGGCTGTGGCAGTGTATACAGCCTCTCCGATCCTATAATCTGACTTCCCATGTGGCAGCATGCACTTGCTGCTGAGCCACCTGTTTGTACTGGAAAAGAAATCAAATAAAACACTGAAAACCCAATTAGCTGAGCAACTAAATTTGCACCTAGTTCTCTGTCCTAAGGAAGTTAAACAAATATTTGTAAAGAAGTAATAAAAATGAGGGAATTAGGATGGAATTTTTCCTATCTTGGAAAATATAGACTTTTTCCATTTCAACATGGTGTAGATGTTGGAGAAATAAACAGCAGAGTTAATGACAAGAATTGAATACTATGTATGCTAGTGTTTAGTGTGTCTATTTTTGTAATTATGAATCTTCTGCTGACATTTGAAGTATGAGCTACAAACAGAGGTTGATTTGAATAAGTTTAAATCTCTATTGCACAGCAGTTTTCAGGAAATGATTTGTTGTTACAATATCTCAAGATCTTCATTACCTCAAATTCAAGTTTGCCATACAGACACTCAGATAACAAGGTGTAGCATAAATGCCTAGACTAGGGTGACCAGAAAGCAAGTGTGAAAAATTTGGACCGGGATTGAAGGGTAATAGGCACCTATATAAGACAAAGCCCCGAATATAGGGATTGTTCCTATAAAATTGGGACATCTGTTCACCCTAGCCTAGACAGATAAATACCTTCAAGAGGGATGTCCCCCTCTTGACTTCTTCAGAGGCTAATTATTCTTCTCTAATAAAGATCAGATAGCCCTGCTCCTATTGAACTTCCACCAGAAAGATCATTTGAGTCCAGCTCATGGGTGTTTGGGAGGAAATGGGGAAAACTCAGAGTGATTGACAGGGGGATAAACCAAGATGGCTATCTAGTAACCCTTACAGAAACCTCACCTGATCCAAAGCATTTCTCATTCTCAAAGTCTTGTATGTCTCACATTATAACAGCAAAGAGAAAAAGAGAGACAAAGAGTTGGAAGAACTTCAAGCTGGTAAACTCATTGCTTCCGGTAGCAGACCCTGACTGAAGCACTGGCTTTTGCCAGTTTCACAGCAGCCCACGTCTCTTTCTGTCTCCCTCCATCTGTTGATTCAGATCTTTCAGTAAATATGTGAAATATTCCTCACTTACACTGATGGCTTTTTGTAAAACACTGCCTTGAGGTGAAAATATATAAAATTACCCCAAAGTTAACATGCGTCTGACGAAGTGGGTATTCACCCACGAAAGCTTATGCTCCGATACATCTGTTAGTCTATAAGGTGCCACAGGACTCTTTGTTGCTATTCACATAATATAGTTCTTCCTGAAGAAATTACCTTGCTCCTGTGTCTTTTGTTTGTGTTTCATGCATTTGAATGTTGTTTATTCTTCGAGTAGTGTCTCTATGGGTGCTTCACTGTAGGTCTGCCTGCGTCCCTGCGCTGCTGATCAGAGAACTTTGGTAGCAATGTCTGTTGGGCCCACACATGTGCTGTCTCCCCTCGGGCAGCGCCACGAGGCTAGCCAGTGCACGTGGGCTAACCATCCTCCGCTTATTCTTGACCACCCTTGGCTAGAGACGAAGCCATTAGCAGTCTGTTAAGACTATCATCTTAATCTTCTCACCTATAGTTACTTAGTCTCCTAGTTGTAGAATAGTATTTCTAGCTGTAGTTTTCCCTCTTTCTTTATTTTTACCCTTAAAAAAAAAAAAAAGTGCCTCTTGAATTCCGAGCCTTGCCCAAGAACTTTTGAGGCACACTCACTTCGGAACCACCTCGAGATTTAGAGGAACAGGAAGCTGGTACTGAGGAGAAAGAGACTCCGAGGACCATATCCTCCTCCTCCTTCAGATGAAGCCATCGTACCTTCTCCACCATCTTTGGTGGATAATTTTGTTCTCTTTCAGAAACTGGCAAAGAGGGTGGCAGGTACTCTCCAGATTCATTGGAGGAAGTCAATAATACCTACCATCGACTCCTTGATATCCTCTATTCTTTAGCCTCCTCAAAGATTGTCCTCCCAATTAATGAGGTCATTTTAGACCTGGCAAAGACTGTGTGGCAAACCCCGGCATCAGTGGCCCTAACCTGCAAGCAGCCGGACAAAAAATGCCATGTCCCCACTAAGGAATCTGAATTCCTATTCTCCTACCCACCACCCAACTCCATTGTGGTGGATCCTGTCAACTCTTGCAGCCAACACCATCTGTCAAGGGCCTCTCCCTCTGACAGAGACTGCAAGCTCCTTGATCTGTTAGGCAGAAAAGCATACTCCTCAG